GGCCTGCTGTGTTCATCCAGCTCTACACCTTGTTATCTCACATAACTAAGCTGCCTTGTTTACTGAAATGAAAGAATGCATCCGTCAGTGTTGCTGCCGGAACAGCATAATGATGCCAATGGTGACAACAGATGGACCAGAAACAGCTTCCCTCAATGCCTTATTTCAATCATGTGGTATCATGGGTAACTTAGAAACTACCAAAACTTAGTCTGTCTTCCACTGCCATTAGGCATCTTAACAATATTATCTATTCTTCACAGTCATAGAAATGTACAGCATGGAAACAGACCCTTCAGTCCAACTCGTCCATGCAAACCAGATTTCCTAAATAAATCTAATCCCATTTGCTATCATTTGGCCCATGTCACTCTAAACCCTTCCTATTCATATACCCATCCGGATGCCTTTCAAATAGTGTAATTGTCCCAGCCTCCACCACTTCCTCTGGCAGCTCATTCCGTACACGCACCACCCTTTGCATGAAAAAGGTGCCCCTTAGGTCCATTTAAATATTTCCCCTCTCACCTTAAACCTATGCCCACTTGTTTTGAACTCCCTCACCCTGGGGAAAAGACCTTGTGTATTTACCCTATCCATGCCCCTCATGATTTTACAAACCTCTATAAGGTCACCCCTCAGCCTCGTACACTCCAGGGGAAATAGCTCCAGCCTATTCAGACTCTTCCAGTAGCCCAAAATCTCCAACCCTAGCAACATCTTTGTCAATCTTCTTTGAACCCTTTCAAGTTTCACAACATTCTTCCTATAGCAGGGAGATGAGAATTGCATGCAGTATTCCAAAAGTGACCTAACCAATGTCCTGTACAGCTGCAACATGACCTCCCAACTCCTTTACTCAATGCACTGAGCAACAAAATCAAGCATACCAAACACCACCTTCACTATCCTATCTACCTGTGACTCTGCTTTCAAGGAACTATGAACCTACACTCCAAGATCTCTTTGTTCAGCAACACACTCCAAGACCTTGCCATTAAGTGTACAAGTCCTGCCCTGAATTGCCTTTCCAAAATGCAGCACCTCCCATTTACCTAACAAACTCCAACTGCCACTGGTTGGCCCATTTGATTAAGATCCCATTGTACTCTGAGGTAACCTTCTTCGCTGTCCACGACACCTCCAATTTTGGTATCATCTGTAAACTTACGAACCATACCTCCTGTGTTCGCATCCAAATCATTTTATGTAAATGACGAAAAGCAGTGGACCCAGCACTGATCCATGTGGCACACCGCTGGTCATAAGCCTCCAGTTTGAAAAACAACTCTTCAACACCATCCTCTGTCTTCTACCTTTTGAGCCAATTCTGTATCCAAATGGCTAGTTCTCCCTGTATTCCATGTAACCTAATCTTGCTAACTAGTCTACCATCAGGAACCTTGTCGAACGCCTTACCGAAGTCCATATAGATCACGTCTGCCACTCTGCCCTCATCAATGCTCTTCATTACTACTTCAAAAAAACTCAATCAAGTTCATGAGACACAATTTCCTGCAGACAAGCCATGTTGACTACCCCTAATCAGTCCTTGCCTTTCCAAATACATGTAAATCCTGTTCCTCAGGATTCCCTCCAACAATTTGCCCACTGCTCAAGTTGGGCTCACTGGTATATGGATCCCTGGCTTTTCCTTACCACCTTTCTTAAATAGTGGCACCATGTTACCCAACCTCCAGTCCTGCGGCACCTCACCTATGGTTACCGATGCTACAAATATCTCAGCAAGGGGCCCAGCAATCACTTACCTAACTTCCCACTGAGTTCTAGGGTACACCTGATCAGGTCCCAGAGATTTATCCATCTTTAGGCATTTAAGACATCCAGCACCACCACCTCTGTGATATGGACATTTTTCAAGATGTTGCTATTTATTTCCCCATGTTCTCTATCTTCCATATCCTTCTTGAAATTAAACACTAATGCAAAATACTTGTTTATTTTCTCCCCTGTCTCCTGTGGTTCTTGCTGATCTTTAAGGTGCCCTATTCTCTCCCTAATTACCCTTTTATCTTCAATGTATTTGTAGAATCCCGATTTGCCAAAGCTATTTGCACACGTACCCACTCAACACCCCCCACCCCCAACCACCACCACCACCACCACCACTGGTTTAAATCCTTCCTAGCAAATCTCGCCAGTATATTTGTCCCTTCCAATTCAGGTGCAATCCATCCTCCTTATACAGGTCACTTCTACCCCGGAAGAGATTCCAATGACTGAAAAATGTGAATTCTTCTCCCCTGCACCAGCTCCTCAGCCAAGCATTCGTCTGCTGTATCCTGCTATTCCTACCCTCACTAGCTCATGGCACTGGGAGTAATCCAGATATTACTACCCTTGAGGACCTCCTTTTCAAATTCCTGCCTAACATCCTATATTCTCTCCTCAGAATCTCATCCTTTTTTTCTTCCTATGTCGTTAGTTCCAATGACCTCCTGCTTGTCCCTCTCCCCTTTGAGAATATTCTGCACGATGTCCAAAATATCCTTGATTCTGGCACCAGGAAGCCAACACGCCATTCTGATGTCTCACTGTGGGCCGTAGAAACATCTCTCTATCACCAGTCTCACCATCGATCGCTCGGAATCTGACATACCTCTTGTTACATTAGAGCCAATCTTGGTACTAGAAACCTGGCTGTCAGTGCTACGTTCACCTGAGAGTTGATCACCCCCTATATTTTCCAAAACAGCATACTTGTTTGGGATAGGGTCAGCGACAGGGGACTCCTGTACTACCTTCCTCCCTCCCCTTCCTTTCCTTCGGTTAACCCATCTATCTGACTGTATATTTGCTTTATTTCCATTCCTGTAACTGCCATCCATCACACCCCCAGCTCCTATACATTCCTCATTGCCTCTAACTGCGGCTTCAACTGATCCAATGCAATCCGATAGGATTCGCAACCACACTCCCTGCAGACATTAATCATCAGTAACATGGAAACTCTCCCTAATCTCCCACATCTGACAGGAAGAGCACATCACTCTACTAAAGGCCATCTTTTGCACCTTAACAACCTACATACCCAGAAAATAGCACAGACTGACTGCTCTTAAAAAAAACACTGCTCCAGACTAACTTAATACCTATGTTTTATATTTTTAACAATTAATTAAGAGGCAGATCTCAATAAGCATCAAAAAGGAACCCAATCTATTCACTATTGTAGATTCACAAAAATAAAACAGTAAGATTACACTTTTAAAAAGCCACCTAACTGCTGTCCTGCCATGAGCTAGATGCAATTCTGTAGTTGTAGCCTAATCTGAACTTTATAAAGGTGCAGCATAACTACCCTATATTTGTACTCCATACTTCGAATTATGAAAGCCAAGCTCCCATACGCTTTGCTAACAAATCTCTCAATATTCCTATTGATCTCTAAGATCTGTGCAAGATGCCACAGTCACCACGCACACATCCTCACCCACCATCACTGTGATGAAACTGTGGTTTTGAAAAAATCCAGAGTATAGGTTTGATTTTTTTTTTTTTTGTTTCTTTTAGTGAACTTAGATAAATTGAATTTTTTTTTTGTTAGTACTTCATATTTTGTCACTGTTTATGTCTCCGGTAAATAGCTTTATCCAGTTCATGCATTTGTGGTTAGGTAGTCTAGCATTATTCCACAGGCCAGAAAATTCCACCATCCAGGTATTTGAATGGAGACATCACAAAGTATTAGAATCCAATCACAGCACCAATGAGATGTATAAAAGGACTATACACCCATATCCTTTTCCCAAAGCCCTGAAAATCTTCACAAGTATTGATATTTTTCCCCTTTGGAAGTTATGACTTAATATGCTCCTACCAAGGTTTCTGGCCAGTGCATTGCAGAACACTTCAACTCTTCCAGTTTAAAAACAAGTCTTTGCCACAGTTTTTGATTATTTTTGCCAATTAATTTATTCTTTCATTGTGCAAAAATATCTGGCTGCTATCCAAGAAGTCGATACCTCTGCATGCTGACCTGTTCTGTGTGGGAACTGGAATGCTACTGTCATCTTAAAGTCAACTCCATTGAGTCTGGTCTGCCATTCAATGAAATCCTGGCAGATTTGATCATCCTCAACTCCAGTTTCCTGCCTTTTCCCCATAACCCTTGAATTCCTTACTGGCTAAAAATCTGTCTATGTAAACTTAAATGTACTGAAAAACCTAACCTCTACAGCCCACTGCAGAATAGAATGCCACAGAATCACCATCTTGTGAGAAGAAATTCCTCCTCATCCTCGTGGTCCTAGACTTTCCGAGAAGGGGAAACAACTATTTATTCTGTCAAGCCCCTTAAGAATCCTTTCTGTTTCAATAAGTTCATCTCTTGTTCTTCTAAACTCCAATAAGTGTAGGCCTCTATTCAACCTCTTAGAAGAAAATCCCTTTATACCCAGCCTCAACCTAATTAACCCTTGGACTGCCACCAATCCAATGTGTTTTCCCTTAGATAAGGGACAAAAACTGTTCACAGTATCCTAGGTGTGGTCTAACTTGTGCTTTATATATTTTTAGTTTATACTCCATTCCTTTTGAAATTAAGGCCAACATTCCATTTTACTCCTCTATTACCTGTTGAGCTTGTATGCTAGTTTTTTGTGACTTACGCATGAGGACACTCCCAGAACTCTGCGTTGAAGCATTCTGTGGCTTTATTCATTTAGATAATATTCAGTTTCTCTATTTTCCCTGTCAGAGTACATTATCTCACATTTTCCCAAATTAAGCTAAGCTCTTGTCCACTCACCTAACCTATCTAGATATCTCTGTAGACTATGTCGTCCTCAGCACTTGCCTTCCCACTTATTTTTATGGCAGCTGCAAACTTGGCTATAAGTAAATTGACTGGTGTCATCCACCTCATTAAATATTGTAATTAACTGTGGCCGAGCACTGATCCCTACTGTATTCATACACTGTATGAATTCTTTCTAATGGCGACCAATTTGACTTTCCTAATCTACAAGAAGATTAAATTCACCAATGATTAATACACTGCCTTTTTTTACATACCCTCATTATCTCCTGATATTATCTCCATCCTACTGTATCACTACTGTTTAGGGGCCTTAGACAATTCCTACCAATGTCTTCTTCCCCTTGTTAGTTCTTATCTCGATCCATTTGGATTCTACATCATCTGACCCAAGACAATTTCTTGTTATCGTACTTACTCCATCTCATACTACAACAATGCTATCCCACCGCTCTTTCCTTCCTGCCTGTCCTTGCAAAACATCACCCAGCATTGAATATTTAGTTCCCAGTTTTGATTTCCTTATAATCATGTCTCCATAATGGCTATAAGATCATAGCTATTAACCTTTGCTTGTGCCATTAATTAATTTTGTTCCAAATACTCTGTGCATTAAAGTAAAGAGTCATTTGTTTTGTCTTTTTACCACTTTGACCCTATTTGCTGCTATGAGTCTTTATGTACCAGATACCAGAACTCATGCAATGCTCCTTTTCCATGCTGAGGGTAGCTCACTCAAGATGCTAATATGTTGGTTTGGCACCATAGTTACACCTTTGGCTCCAAGTATTCCTAATCACTTGTCTTAGCAAAGATAGCTTGCTTACGGATAGCTTCGTAATAGCCATACATTGTGATTTTGTCAACCTTAGTGATTCCAGGAACTATAATTTATTGTCAGTCTGAAATTTGTCAGGCAGTAAAACAATATAAAAGGAACTTAGATTGTGTGGGATAGTAGGACAGTACAAATTAAGAGTTATGCACTTATGTCTTTTGCACTCCTGCGTCACTCCCTGCCCTTATATCATATGATTCACTGTGATGCAACTGCAATAGCTACTCCATTCCTGTGACAATTCCCCTGCAATATTCACTTGTGGGATAATATATTCTCCCACCTGAAATATAAGAAATATAATGCTTTAAATTCTTACCTTTGTCACAGTGTGACCAATTAATTCATAAATTTGTATTTTTCTGTGGCAACATACGGGGGCAATTAAGGTATTAATCGGTTATGTTTAGATTAACTAAATTTTTTTTTTTACATTTGTGTTCATAATAGTTGTACCACATGCCAACACAATATTGTCATTCATTCTATTTATTTAACTACATTGTTAGGATTTAAATCTGAGCTATCTATGACATCATTGTACCTTTTGCTTATTTTGAATCACTAAACAATTAGTGATGAAGCTTTAAAATATTATCCTTCATTTTAATAACAAAGTAACTGGCAGAAATCAGAATTTAATTTTAACAGGCTTTCACACAATTTTACATTGTCTCTCATGATTACCTTTAACAAATCTCAATGAGAATTTTCATTGAATCCCTAGTGTGGAAGCAAGTCATTCGGCCTATCAAGTCCTCACTGACCCTCCGAACAGCATCCCACCAAGACCGCCCCCCTGCCCCCTGCATTTCCCATGGCTATTCCACCAAGCTTGCACATCTCTGGATACTATGGGCAATTTAGCATAACCACTGCACCTAATCTGCACATCTTTGGACCGTGGGAGGAAGCTAGAGCACCTAGAGGAAATCCATGCAGACACGGGGAGACAGTTGCCCGAAGGTTTAATCAAACCCGGGGTTACTGGAGCTGTGAGGTCGCCGTGCTAACCACTGAGCCATTGTGCTGCTATGGTTACTTCTCATTGACATATTTTAATGTAAGACCGGGAGTCAATAGGCAAACCAAAGAAAGTTCCATTACTGCTCACTGATGCTCTTGCACCACTTACACTCAAGCACAGTATTGAGTTATTATTTAATATACAAAGTGAATGTAGACCTTAGTTAATCCAATATCAATTGCTGTTGGTATTGTATTTTGTGCTGTTAATTGGAAATATTGATTATGTGTTAAA